GCCACTGATAACCCTCCACATGATCTCCGTTTCTGTGATTCTGTTCCTGTTCTAGTTGTTTGCTTAGTTTTTGTTTTTTTAGGTTCAGTTGTTGATAGTTGTTTGTTGTTATTTCACTGTTCATGTTTTTTATCTTTTTCTTAGATAAGTCCTTTTAACATTTCATATATAAGGTCTTGGTGATGATGAACTCCTTTAACTTGACCTTATCTGGGAAGCACTTTATCTGCCCTTCCATTCTAAATGATAGCTTTGCTGCATAGAGTAGTCTTGAATGTAGTTCCTTGCTTTTCATGGCTTCAAATACTTCTTTCCAGCCCTTTCTTACCTGTAAGGTTTCTTTTGAGAAGTCAGCAGATAGTCTTACGGGCACTCGTTTGTAGGTACTCCTTTGTAGGTAACTCTCTTCTATTCTCTTGCTGCTTTTAAGCAGCAAGATTCTCTCTTTATCTTTAATCTTGGGTAACTTAATGATGATGTGCTGTGGTGTGTTCCTCCTTGGGTCCAGTTTCTTTGGGACTCTCTGGGCTTCCTGGAAGTCTCTTTGCTTTGCCAGATTGGGGAAGTTTTCCTTCATTATTTGTTCAAATAAGTGTTCCATTTCTTGCTCTTATTATTCTTCTCTGGCACCCTTATAATTCAGATATTAGAACGTTTTAGGTTGTCCCAGAGGTTCCTCAGTCTCTTCATTTTTCTGAATTCTGGTTTCTTCTTTCTGTTCTGGTTGGATGTTTATTTCTACCTTTTGTTCCAAATTGTTGCTTTGAGTCATGGTTTCCTTTCTGTTACTGTTGGTTCCCTCAATATTTTGCTTTGTATCACTTTGGGTGTCTTTAATTTGTTCTTTAATTTTTCGACAAAGCTCAATCAGTTCTGTAAGCATTTTGATTACCAGGGCTTTAAACTCTCCATCAGCTAGGTTGGCTATCTCCTTGACACTTAGCTCTCTTTCTGGAGTTTTGCTCTGTTCTTTCATTTGGGACATACTTCTTCCTCTCCAGCACCTGTTAAGTTGTAAGGGGGAGGGGCCTTAGGTGTTCACCAGGGCAGGGCAACCCTCCTTGCTGTGCTGCCTGAAGGTGAGGGGCCAGAGAAGGAGCAATGCAGCTTGCCTCCTTGGTTCTAGCCCCACTTTCCAATGGTCTTGTGTGAGACTGGGAGTTTCTCCCACCATGGCGACCACTGTAGGCCATAGTCATCTCTGAGTCTCAGTTTCGGGTTCTGTCAGCTCCACCTGTGAGGTCGCCTCCTTGCGGAAGTCAGCCCCGCCCACACGGGCTGCCACCTTGCTGCGGGTTCTCTGGTCTACAGTCTTACCGGTCTGGTTGGTCTGATTGACTGTTTCTTCAATTCTTGGTTGTTGGAGTTACATGCAATTTGATTTTTCTGGCATTTCTAGTTGTTTATTGATTTTAGATTGGTTGTTATCCTTCTCTTGATTGTGGGAGGAAGGGAAGGGTTTCTACCTATGCCTCCTCCATCTTGGCTGGAACTCAGGTTACATTCTTTTTTAATGGCTCAGTTGTATTCCAGTGTATATATGCAGCACTGCTTTTTTATCCATTGATCTGTTGATGGACACTTGGGTTGCTTCCATATGTTGGATGTGGTACATAATGCTTCAGTAAACATATGGGTGCGTATGTCTTTTTGATTAGTGTTATGGGTTTCTTGGGATAAATACACCGAAGTGAAATTACTGGGGCTGTCTTTGTCTGTTATTAATAACCTTTGTTTTAAAGTCTGTTTTGTATGTTGTTAGTATTGTTACCCCAGCTTTTTTTTTTTTTTTTTTTTTTTTTCATTTTCATGACATACCTTTTCCCATTCCTTTTGGTCTGTGTCTTCAATCTGAAGAGAGTTTCCTGTGGATGGCATATGTAAGGGGCTTGTTTTATTATCCATTGGCCACCCTATTTCTTTTAATTGAACCATTTAATCCATTTACTTTAAAGTAATTATTGATAAATATGTAGTTATTGCTATTCTGTAATTCACATTTTTTTCTCTTTTTTTTCTTCTTAAAGAAGTCCTTTTTAACATTTCTTACAGTACTGGTTTGGTGCTGATGAATTCCTTTACCTTTTTCCTGTCTGGGAAGCTCTTTATCTGTGCTTTGATTCTAAATGATAGCTTTGCTGGGTAGGGTAATCTTGGTTGTAGGTCCTTGTTTTTCATCAATTTGAATATTTTGTGCTGATCCCTTCTGGTCTCCAAAATTTCTGTTGAGAAATCAGCTGACAGTTTTATGGAAAAGCAGTTAGTTTTATACAAGGGAGATCCCATAAGACTGTCAGCTGATTTCTCAACAGAAAGTAACTTAACTGTTTTTTCCCCCTGCTGCTTTTAAATTCTTTCTTTGTCTTTAAACTTTGGCGTTTTAATTATGGTATGTCTTGTGTGGGCCTCTGGTTTCATGTTGTTTGGGACTCACTGTACTTCTTGGGTTTATATGTCTATTTCCTTCACCTGGTTAGGGATGTTTTCCATCATTATTTCTTGAAATAGGCTTTCAATTCCTTGCTCTGTTTCTTCTTCTGATACCACTATAATGTGAATATTGATAAACTTGATGTTGTCTCAGAGGCCCCTTACATCAGTGTTCTCCATCCTTTTTGGTACCTGGGATCAGTTTCGTGGAAGACAATTTTTCCACAGACTGGGGATGGGAGGATGGTTTGCAGATTATTTAAGCACATTACATTCAAGCTCACCTCCTGCTGAGGAATGCCTGGAACTCCAAAGACGCTCTGTCTCACTCAGCCACTATCACCACTGGCTTTCTAGCCAGAAATTATGGAGACTTATCTTCCTGGCACTGGAACCTGGGCTGGGACCCCTTGCTCCTTGGGGGAAGGGGGGATGTTTCTCTCCCCATTTTTCACTGCTACATGTGGTGGTTGGTTCAGCTGGTTCAGCATCTCTTACCATGCTAACCAGTCTTGACGAGGCTTCTTCTTTATACTCTTAGTTACTGGATTTCTGTTTAGCTAGATTTCAGGCTGTTCTCGCTAATTCTTGTTCTGTAGTTCAGTTTTAATATTGGTGTGGTTGTGGGAGGAGGTGAGTACAGCCTTTACCTACTCTGCCATGTTGACTGGAAGCCAGTAAATGTTTCTTGTGATATAGAGCTATCCTTCTTTTCCTGTTACACCCTTACAAATGGAGGGTTGTTGTAAATTTTTCTTACAAAAGGGTAACTTCCACTCTGTTTTCAGAGCTTCTTCTCTGTCTGCTGTTTCTCCAAGTAATCTTTATGCTAAAGAAGCTTATTTGGGAATGGCTCTCCTGCCACCCTTCACTTGTAAGATAACCAGAGAGCTAACTCCCTCACCTCTTTTAAGTCTTTGCTCAATGTTATTTTCTCAGTGAGCTCTGCCATGACCACCCATTTTAAGATTACAGTTGCTTAACCCACAAATACTCCTATCTCTTTTACTCTGCTTCTCCTCCCGCCCCCTGCCCAGTAGCATGTATCATCCTCTGTCATACTATATAGTTGACTTACTTTGTGTATTGTTTATCTTGTTTACCAGAAAGTAAGTTTTAGGGCAGGGATTTTTGGTGGTTTTGTTTTACTGCTGTACCTATCACATAGTGAGTGCTTAATAAATGTTTGTTGAATGAACAAACATGCTAGGGCTACTGTACTTGTGAGCTTGTTCTTGTTCAAATTCTTGGGCCCCATCCCAGAACTCTTGAATTGAAAACTCTGGAAATGGTATTCAGCTACTCTGTTTTAACTAGGTCTCCAGGTGATTCTGATGCAAATAAATTAAAGGGGTTTTTTTTCTTTATTTAAATAAAGTTTAAGAATCACTGATGTATAATATTGAGCAGGGTTTCAAAAGCCAGGCCTTTTTCTTACATGTGGAGCTATGTAGATATATGAGGTAATTGACAAATAATAACTGAGTTTGTCCTCCCTCCCTCCCTTCTCTTTTCCTTTTCCTGAGGAGGTAGCACAGGGAAAAAGGATATAAACTACAATAAATTTTGGCTCCTTTATTATGTGATTCAAGAAGTCTCTGTAATGGCATCTTTAGTGTCCACTAGGAGGACAAACAGGACTCAGCATGTAGTCACATTCATGGCTAAGATTTATTATAACAAAAGGGTATAAAGCAAAATCTGCTTGGGGAAAAAGTTTATAGGGCAAGGCCCAGAGGAAACCAGGAGAAATTTCTAAGAGCCCTCTTCCATTGGAGTCATACAGGACACATTTAATTCTTCCAGCATCAAATTGTAACAGGGAAGCTCATTAGAGACATTGTACTCAGGATGTTTTACTGGGGACTGGTCATATGGGCTCCCTCTGCCTGGCATGTACCAAAATTCCAGACTCCAATGAAAGCAAGAGTTTAGCATAACCTACATTGTACCAGCAGTTGAGGCACAGTGAACCATTCTTTCCAGTTAGGGTGATGGGAACCCTCCTGGAGTCCAAGTTCCCAGATGACAGCCAAGGGTCAGCCTTGCAAGCAGGCCTTTCTAAGGATAGCAGTCTCAGGCCTGTTATGGTAACTCATTTTACACACAATGATATCCAAAGAAGTTTGTTATTTTTTTACTTCTACTTCTTTATATAATATGTAAAACATTTAGACTAAATAGTCTCTATGAAATTTAGTAACAAAATGCGCAAGAATGATTTGAACAGTGTAAGCAGGTTGAATAAGTGAGTTCATTTATGGAAACATTTTCTGAACAATGCCTTGGAAGTATTATTTATAGTCTGTGCTGATTTTAGTAATTACAAAAGTGTTTTATTTCATGGTAAATTTTTCATATTTATTCCACAAATAAAAAATATAATAACAAGGTAACTTTCTTAAATTTTCACTTGAAAAATGTTATCATGAATGTGGCCCTCAGCTTCAAAGTAGATGCAGATCTATTTCACTTCCATCTTTCAGTGTTCCAAAGGGCCTATTTGAAATGTGCCATGTTTGGGCTTGCTTTTGTGAGTAACCAATCTTTTTCTCTCTTTATTTTTATAGGTCAAGATGCCGAGTTGTCAGGGACGCTTTCACTTGTTTTGACACAGTGCTGTAAAAGAATCAAGGACACTGTTCAGAAATTGGCCTCAGATCACAAAGACATCCACAGCAGTGTTTCTCGGGTGGGAAAAGCCATTGATAAGGTATGGTGTTGAAGGAAGTTTTTGGTATTTAGCATCATCCTTCATCTCCTGTCACTGCTTTGATGACATTAGCTTTCTCAAATTATGCTATTTCATTCCTTTCTACTTTTAATAACTTACACAGATCTGTTTTTTTACTATGTTAAGTTCCCTGTTGCTATTATTTAAAAATCAAAACGAAAAAACCTCTTTTTTTCACCCTGGTTATTTATCCATTTGCTTATATGAATACAGTTCCTAATGTCGTGATGAGTACATTCCCAAAGAAATTGTAGCCTATTATGAAGGAATTTGTTTACAAAACTAACTTTTCCTACTTCTCTGAATAATTTCCTGGCTGCGACTCTGTGATGTGGAATGATTAAGTAAATATCCTTGCATTTATCTCCTGTGTATCACCCTAACTTCTCTTGTCTTCCTGTGTGCATGCTAATTGCTTTTTTCCAGTGTTGCTTTGTATGGGTGGGTTGGTTGCTAGCCAGCAAGGCTGGTCATTGGTGTTGGGTGATTTTTATTATAACATCTCTTAGATTTTTGAATTAGTGGTTTACTTATAAGCAGTTGTCATTTGTAGCACTGGATCAGTGCTAAAATTTGTAGCTCTAGTAGGGCCTAAGAGAAGTGGCCTAAGGTATGGTAATTCTGACCACTTCAGCCACTGGAGAGTTTGTGACTTGTTATGGACATTTTTGTTCACACACTGTAAAATTCTGGGAGAGTAGGAAGAACTTCTGGGGGGAGCTCTTTGTAGCAAAGCCATCTCCTGACTAGTTGATTAGTTTGTACACACAAGAGCACTAACTGTAATATAGGAGAGACTTATAGAATCCAGAGAACTGCTCTAACTCCTGGATAAACCTGTTAGAAACTATCCTTTTGGAACAGTAGTATCGAAAGGCTAAACTTGAGGCAGCCTAAGTCAGAACTATGTGCTCCTAAGGAAATGTCATTGACGGGGTAGGTGTGGTGTGTCAGGATAGTAAGTGGCAGGGGCTCTGGAGTCTGTTTGGGTAGCTGTGGCTTACAGAAGTGTTAGTGACTTTTCAGAGAGCTTTGATCACTTCTGTAGTGCTGAGGGCTTCAACTCAGCAAGAGACCAGAGAAGTGGTGTTGGTGGCAGCAGTCCCATTTCTGGATCAGTGGTGGCCGTTGCCAGCAAAGGCTGGAAAGGCAGTGAACATTTTCGATACAGCTTTGAGGTTGTGATGGCTGTTTGGTAACTCTGAGGGAGTGAACCCAGCTTGGGAAGAGGCTTTGGCGTCAGCCCTTTCGGGGCTATGGCACTGCAAGTCTTCAGTTCTATATGAAGTGACTTTAGCCTAAGGACATACTGGAATGGTGGTGAGGCACTTTAGAGATGATCTTTAATTACTGTGAGTGAGAAAAACCCTCAGTTTCTCTAGGGTGAAGTAACTACTGGCGTTGTTTAGGAAGCTTTAGATTTCAGTGTCTGGCAGTGACCAAGGTGTTGTAGTCATTTTGATGGTTCAAACTCCAGAAGGTTCCTGGAGGGATTGCTTGACCACTGCTGCCTGCAGTTATGACAGAGGGTGGGACAGCAGAACCAGAAGATGCCGTGACAGTGAGAAGAGCTGAAGCCAGTCAGAAAAAGTATCTAAGAAATCCCAAAGTCTGGGAACAGGTGGGGACAGCCTCAGCAACCAGACCTCAAGTGTGTGTACTACTGGCCACCAGGGTCAGAAGCATTTGGGCAAATAATTTACCAACGTTGTATTCTATCACTGGTTTCCCCATTTCCTAGTTGCTGTCTGTTGTCCAGACATACTTATCATCACGATCCTCTTACTCTTGTCTCCCTAGCTACTGGTAACTTGATGAGCATGTCTTCCACCTGATCTAGCATGTCTTTACAAATATTCATAAGGGTTTTTGTCAGGTTTTTTTTTTTGGCTAATCTTTGAGACAAAACATTTAAATGTATTTGGTATTAGAAATGGCAGTACTTCTTTGAGAATAGATACCAAGGGAACACATAGTGAGTAACCTTTATTCTGGCTTTTTGGGTAGGGATATGTTTAAGGTGAATGTTCTAATTAACATATTTTACTTATTTGTCATTTGAAGACATTTATTTCATGTATTTAGAAGTTATAAGGACCTTTTCAAGTAATTCTTTGGTAGTTTTATGTTCTTGTGAAAGTAGTTTTAAGTTCCAGGTGACATAGCTTCTTCTGATTTGTCATGTGAAACTACGTTCCTAAGTTGATACTGAGAGGTAATTTGTTGAATCATAATCCTAGACAAGAGAAAAAAGCCTGGATCTTTTAGTCTAGTTCTCTAACATCTTTTAGTGCATTCTTTCCCAAATTAAAAAATTTTTTATTGATTGATTTTAGAGAGAGAGAAAAGGAGACAGACAAACATCAGTTTCTTATTTCACTTATTTATGCATCATTGGTTGATTGTTGTAAGTGCCCTGACTAGGGACTCAAACCCATAACCTTGGTGTATTGGGATGATGCTCAAACCAACTGAGCTACCCAGCCAGGGCTGGTTCCAGTTGTTTTTTGTTGTTGTTGTTGGAATCTACTTGGTCTCAGGTGTAGAGGAAGATGTTTGTCCACTAGAACTACCTAGACATTGTTCATGAACTTCTCACAAACAGGAACTCTTTGTAGGCCGTTGTCACATGAGACTCCATCGACTTATAAAGTCATCTTCTTTGTCTTCTTTTAAGTATTGAACTGCTAAATTTGTACAAATTTCTGGGACCATCTGCTGCAAAGGCTTGGTGGGATCTTATGGGAATTGGTGGTAAACAAACAGGATGGAGCTGAACCAGTTGTGGCATAAGCCTTTAATTTTTTTAAATCCTCACCTGAGGACATTTTTTTTTTTCATTGCTTTTAGGGAGAAAGGAGGGGAGAGGGAAAAACATTCGTGTGGGAGAGAAACATCTATTAGTTGCCTTCTGTACATTCCCAGACCAGGGATCAAACCCTCAGCCTTTTGGTTATGGGATGATGCTCCAACCAGCTGAACCACACTGGCCAGGGTGTGGCACAAACTTTTAAAAACCACAACAGACAGACTTGAGTAATAACTGGAATGCTGTCCAGCATCCTGCGAGCACATGTTGTGGACAGACAGTGTTCTCATCCTCCCAGGACAGTCAGAGACACTGGGATTCCTCTGTGAGCTGGCGTTCTGAGTAAGGAGCTGCAGTAAATTTCTGACACGCTAAATGATTTTTTCCCTTTTAGTGTTTTAATGCTTCTAGTGTTTTAAAATTCTCTAGTTATCACTTCTCTGAAAATGTAAGCAGAAAAGTTTGTGGTATTAGTTAAGGTGTTTTGTGTCTTTTAATGATTATAAACATAAAATGTGGAGGGTTTCTGCTTCTATATTGACTTTTCAGATGTCCATAGTTTTATGATCACTATTTAAAATACATAATATTAGCTATTGGGTTCTGTGGCAATTTTTTTTGTAAAAACTGTGTCGGTATGTTTTTAATTTTCTCCCCCATTTTAAGAAAATTTAGAACTCTTTCCTGTTTAGGGCGTTTTATTCAGCATTTTGTTTAGCTTTTAACTTTTAGTTTACTTCCTAAATAAAAAAAGTCAGCGAAATGATTACTGCTTTAGAGGTGTATGTGTGTGTGAAAATAAATGGTGCTAAGATTTTAAGGTATTTAAAATTTGTTGTGGGATAGTTGAAAGTAAGATATGTAGTACATGTTACTTAGAAGATTGTGGTCTAGTTTGACTTTTCATATATGTAGAAGAATGGAAAAAAATTCTGAGGAAACAGGGATGGACTCTGCTTACTATAAAATAAAAGGAAGATCATTGTGCTGTTGATTAATTTAAGGTTTGTGGAACTGGTGACTTAAATTTGACTTGGAAGAATGGGTAAGATTTGGAGCAGGAGAACAGTGAGGTACAGTTTTCTGTGGGGCCAGGAAAGGGTCTGAATGGCAATCGAGAATGTGCTTTTTGACTCCTGTTAAAAACTCTCAGGGACTTGATTAGAGAGGCTGACCCTGTCGGGAATAGAGCAAGATCAGGTTGGGGAACAGGAAATGATGGAGGGCCTATGGCTTTGATCCAAGGAGAATTAGGAGAAAAGGGAGTGGATGATAAAAGCAGTCGAGGCTATCATTTATTGAGTGTTGGCCATGCTCGGTATATTTATTTATATATCATCATGCAGGTACATTATTCCCATTTTGCGTATGAGGAAACTAAGACTCAGAGATACTAACATACCCCACCCACCAGGTGTACAACTTGGAAGTGATGAATCAAGAGGTGGAAAAGATCTCAAGAATCTGTTCTTAAACACTGCTATAGTAGGAAATTAGGCCATTGCAGGGCCGGTAATGTTTTAAGGAGGAGAGTAATGATTAAAAATATTTCGTAAACCACATTTCCTTAACTGATCTGCCACTAGATGGAGTATCTGCACTGGTGATGCAAGTGCTGTGACTATACTTAAAAAACAAATGGAGTAATGCTATAAAAAAGTAGTATAGAATATTGTAAGCCAGTGCTGGTGAGCAGTTTGGAACTGCCTTTTATGTAGATATGACTGAAGTACGAGAGGAGAACAAAAATACCAGAGGGTGATAATGTCTTGAGTTTAGCCTTAAGTGGTAGTTTAGATAAACTGTGTGGGTGAGGTCAGATGTGTCCTAGCTCTGAAGTTCTGTTATTAATGTAAGGGGTAAATCCTTGTATAGTAGAGAGAGTTACTGTCAATGCAGGAAAAAGGGAATAACAAAGAAAATTCACTCTGCTTCAAAAGAAAAATTGGTGAGTTCTGATATACCTAATATATAATTTGATACAAATTTTGGGTAGAATTTTTAGAATTATTTGAAAGGAATAATAAAGTTATAAAAAGACAACAGTGATTAAAAAGCCAAGAACATTTTCCCTAAAAATAAAACATCAAACTAACTCCTCTCCTCAGAATTACTAGTGAGTAATCCAAGAAAGTATAGGAGACAATGTGTCTAAATTTTTGCAAGATAT